GAGTTTTTAAATTATTGTTGTCTGTACCTAATCTGTGTAATTTGTTTAAATCGGGTCTCTCTTGTAAATGAGAGGCTCAGTGAAACTAACCTGTATAAATAAAGGCTGAATGAAAAAAAAAAGTGGCAAAGAAGTGACATTGTGATATTTTTCTACCTAAAGCATATAACTGTGTTTACAGGTTTGAAATAAGTGTAAGGCTGACGTAATGCAAGTTTATGGATCTGTGGAATAATAGTTGTGTATGAGCAACTATATTAACATAAAAACAATCAGTAAAAGCCTTCCCCTCTGCTCCATTAAGAGCTGTAGTAAAGCTCTACCGCCTGCAGGGGGCGACAGAAGCTTGTTTTCAGCCCAAGTGGGTTTTTTTCTTAATTAGATGGTCACGTGCAGCTTTTAAAGCTGCGATGTTCTGCTCACATACAAAACTCGTAAATCAAGAACGTTGTTTAAATTAAACATATTCTCTGACAATCAATTCGGATATAAAAAATAAAAATAAACACGAGTCGCGCATGCGCAGAAACCGTTTTTGGTTTTACAGATGCAGGTGTGTAAATATGAGTGCTGTAAGTGAATCTACGTGTGTGCGCGTGCGTGCAGCAGCGAGAGACAGAGAGAGAGAGAGAGGGAGGCGCGCGCACACACGCCAGAGGGGACGGGTTGCTGATTGAGCTTACCGAAGCTTAAGCCGGTCCTGCGCGCGCTCACCTGTCCCGGGACCGTCCAACGCGCATCTCGGTTCCGTCTCAGAAATCCCAGGTGATCTGGATTACCTGACGTCGTCTTCGCTTCCTGAGGAAGGCGCGGCTGTTTTCACCAAGTGCTGCGAGGTTCGGTTCGGTCCGGTCCGGACGGTGCGCCCGGAGCAGAACCCCGCGTCTCGTCGGTAAGATGTTTTCCATCAGAGCAACTAAAAATAGAGTCCGGTTGGGTTCGGTTCTGTTCGGCTTCTCTCTATAGGTTTGTTACAGTATGAACCTATAAATAAATTAAAAGAGGCTTAACTAACGCTTCCTTTTTATTTTTATTCCACCAGCTTTTAATTCCATATTTTTATCGCAACAAATAAACTAATTAAATGAATTATTTCAGGTTTATCTTCCCGTTTTATCAACTAAATGATGAAAATATATCCAATAAAAACAGATTTTCATGAAAACCCGCAGCATTTTGAAATAAAGTTAAAGCTGTCTTTCATTCTTTCATTCTTTCATTCTTTCATTCTTTCATTCTTTCATTCATTCATATAGATGTTAAAGTCAGTCTGCATGAAGGAAAAAGGCAAAATAATAAATAGAAGTAGCACAGTTTTTACAATAAAATAAATGTAAAATTCAAAGTGGAGCAGTAAACGTGATGAAGATGAGAGAGGAAGAGTTGCTGTTGGGATGTTTCAGCTGTTTGCTTGGAAAACACCGGAAGTTGACAGGAAGTGAGAATGCTTCACATTTCACATCAGTCATTAGATAAAGAGACACTCAGCTGCTTTCAGAACAAGAGGGTCTGAGTTCAGAGCACGCACGCACACACACGCGCACTCCACCTGCAGGATGCTGCTTCCATGCTCCAATCACAGCAGCTGCTGCAGAGTCCTGTGGCTTCAGCATGGAAGGAGGTGCAAACCTCCATCTGGGTTCCTTGAAAACAAATTAAACTGTAGAAATGTCATTTGCTGTGAAAAAGCAGCGTGAACGCTTGATTTTTGCTGAAAGCTGCCGAAGAAGCTGAAACCAGCTGAAATGTTTCATCTCTGAACTTGGAACAGCTGACGTTTGCTGAAAGCGGGGAAATAAAAGCAAAAACAGCAGAATAAGCTGAAACGGGCTCAGTAGTTTAAATGAAATATGAAATGAGCAAAAAACTAGCTGAAAAGGCTACAAATAATAATTTTTAAAAAAGCTAAAATGAGCTGAAAGGGGCTAAAAAGTTTATATACAGGTATATGTATTTTAAATCAACAGTAAAGGAGAAATTGAAAACTAATAAACAGCTGGGATAATAAGATTAACAGTAAAATATCTAATTAAAAAAAATCTGCTGAAAGGGGCTAAAAAGTTGATATATACATGTATATGTATTTTAAATAAACAGATTTACTTTGAGAGTAAATCCCGTCCAGGGTTCATGGGATATTTTGCTAACAGACATGGGTAAAAGCCTCTTTTGTGATGCTTTGAAATTCTTTTTTCTGTTGGCTGCCGTCTTTATGCTGACTTTTCTTTCCGTTTTGTGCACTTCTGAATTTAAAAGATGAATAAATGTCGTCAGTTTCCCGGCTGAGCTCTCTCGCTCTCTTTTAATTAACTAATTTGAGAAAGTAATCAATGTCTTTATTTCATCCAGACCTGACCGTTGAAATGGTTCCGGCAGTTTACTCTTAGTTTAATTTATTTTCATGATGTAACTGTGTTTAGCAAGTTAAAAATACGTGTTTTAAAATGCTTTTTGTGTTTCCTACACGTTGGCTTCAGAAATGTTTAACAGGTTTTAGAAGAAAGCTCAAGTATAAAATTATCTTGAAACAGAAATTTAAGCAAAATAAAATGTTTGTGATCTCGATCATCCAGGTAAATGAATCGCAAAAAGGTTAAATCGGGTCATCCGGACTGTTTCTTTGTGGGAGAAACGTTTCGTCTTAAATTTGAAGGACTTCATCAGCCTGAGGCGTGCCAACCCACATCTCTTATATAAATAGCACCTCGTGTGGTTCAAGCCAGAACTCCTGTCGAATTCCCAGAAACTGTCTTGACGCGTGCAAAAAGGGATCATCCACCCAAAACGATCGATCATCAATTCTAACGATCAAATGTTTTAGACCTGCTGGACAACATCTACTCACGGAAGTTTAATTCTATTTATAAGACAGATGTGGGTTGGCAGGCCTCAGACTGATGAAGTCTTTCGGATGAAAGACGAGGCGTTTCTCCCACAAAGAAACTGTCCAGATGAGCTGATTTAACCTTTTCTGTAGAAATTAAAACACAGTACTTTCTGGTGTATAAGTCGCAGTATTTTGTACAGATTTGTCAGTCTTGCGACTTCTACACCGGCGTGACTTGTATACGTTTTTTTTTTTTTTTCCATACTCATAACGCAATTTTCAACTGACGCTTTAAATGTTCATTCCAGAGTAAACATTACCATTTGCAGCCGCTAGACGCCCGAGAGGGCCCATAGGCTTTTGACAACAACCAATAGGCTTATATATGTTGTTCTGGTACCACTACCACCACCAAACATTGACCATTAAGTGCATTTATTAAGGAAAAGTTGAACTTGGACGCACCTTTGCTATAATGTCGAGGAAACAAATTATTTTTAAGTGTTAATCTTTGTAAATTTTGAAGAGCTGCACCAGTGAGTCCTTCCATGTGCGCTCCTGCGGCCGCCAAACGATTTTTGGCACAACACCGGCCCAGGTTTCCCGGGGGGTCGATAATAAACACGACTTATGCTCCGGAGCAACTTATGTTTCTTTCCCTCTTCATGATGCTTTTTTTTTTTGACTGGTGTGACTTATACGGTATATTTCACAGACCGCAGTTGCATCATCTTCTATACGTAGCTGATCTCAGTTGTGTGTGTTCTTACCTCTGAATGAACCAAGCCGTTCTCTGGGATTTGAAAGAGCTCCTCCAGCTGAACCCTGTAAGGTCAGCTGCTAACTGCAGCGTCTGCACATGAAATCATCTACAGACTTTACAACAAAGTTAAACAACCGCAACACGCACTGGGGCAGTTCCTCTAAGCCGAGGGTCTGCAACCTTTATGATCAAAGGAGCCATTTCTGCTTCTCTGTACACAAAATAAAACGTCCATGGAGCCGCAGAACCTGCTAAATCTATGACTATCAACTGGTGGTCCATGGCCCACATCAAGCCTGTTGATGGGGACTTTTCCAGCCAGCAGGTGTGATATTATGCAACTAAAATATCAAATTATTATTAATATTTATGGATATTTTTATATTTTAGGGCAAAAGAAAAGACTGGATTAATGTAAAGAAGAGATGGATGGATGGATGGATAACCAATTTTGTAAAAATTCAAACACAAGCATGCAGGCTTATGTGAGTTTTCTTTTTAACTGTGGAAACAATTCACAAAGTATCCCACTATGAAGTACCGTATTTTTCGGACTATAAGGTGCACCGGCTTATAAGTCGCATTAAGCGAAATAAGTACATTTTGACAGATTTTTAAGTGCCGTGTACAACATAAAATCGATCCGAGGTCAGTAAGCACAACCAGAATTAATACATAAGGCTCACTTGTTGATTTGGAGTAAATTAAAGCATTTTAAGAATGCCTTATAGTCCAAAAAAATACAGTAATAAAGCACAAAGATAAAAATTAGACCTGTTTGTTGGATACGTAATTGAATTTTAAAATTAAATACTTCCATTTACTTTTTTTTTCTTTAATTTTTATTATCAAGTTGACTCACCATATTTCTTCTCAGCAAATTGCCTTAAGTGTATTCTCCCCCAAAGAAATTTGATGGATTTGAGAAAAAGATCACATCGTAAGACTGGAACTGCGCTAAAAGAAGTGGCTAACAAACTACTAGCGTGACGTAAACGAGTTTTACTCGTTGCGTTCGTACCATCATTCACATGTTGGCAAAATAAATGATTGTAAAACTGCTAAAACTAGACATTTCTTGTTGGTACAACAACCAATAAACTTCAGTTTTACGTTAGCTTTGGTCAAAACTTGGAGCCGCTGCAGAGGGACCAAAGAGCCGCAGATTGCAGACCCCTGGTCTAAGCTCGTCCAAGTCCGAGGCCATGGTTCTGGACTGGAAATGGGTGGAGCGCCCCCTCCAGGTCAGGGAGGACGTTTTCCCTCAGGTGGAAGAGTTTATCTGGGCATCTTGTTCCTGAGTGATGGTAGGACGGAGCAGGAGATCAACAGTTCGCAGTAATGAGGGTGTTGCTACAGTCAGCTGTGGTGAAGAAAGAGTTTAATCGAAAGGCAAAGCTCTTGATTTACTGGTCTGTCTGCATTCCAACCCATCACCTGTGGTCACGAGGTTCGGATCAGGACCAAAAGAACGCGATCCTGGATTCAAGCGGTCAAAATGAGCTTCCTACGTAGGGTTGCTGGGTTCTGTCTGAGGGTTAGGGTGAGGAACTCTTGAGTAGAGCCGCTGCTTCTCCGCATCAAAAGGAGTCAGCTGAGGTGGTTCATCTGATCAGGATGCCTCCTGGATGTTTGCTTTAGAGGCGTTTCAGCACGTCCCACCGGTTAGGAGGCTTCAAGGAAGACCTCAATCATGCTGGAGGGATGGTGGATCTTCTGACGTCTTGGGCTCCCTCAGGAGGAGCTGGAAAGTGATGCTGGGGGGAGAGGTCTGGGCTTCTCTCCTGGACCTGCTGCCTCTACAACCAGACCAGACGGACGGATAAGTTTGCGTTCAGAATAACAGGAAAACCAAATGGTTTGCAGAAGACAAAGCGAATCAATGTTTCATTCTGTTGTTTTACAACATGAAGGTGAATAAAGCCTGACGTTTGTTCTGAAGGCAGCTCCTCTCAGATGTTCTTCAACAGATCTAGAACTGTCGTGGTCTTAAAGTTCTTCAATTTAAAGGTCTAGGAGTGAACGCGCATCGCTCGCCGCCTTTCAGACGAACGTCGTCTTTACGTTCATCTCGCTGTTTGGATGAGACGACGTTCTGCTTTTGAACTGTAATGTTCTGCCTGTGTGCGCCTGTCTGTTAGCAAAATATCTCTTTTGAACTGCCGGACACATTAAAATGGAACGACTGATTAAACGTCTTCAACTCGTAAATATTGGCAGTCAACCACGTCTAAAATGGCCACCACAGCTAATTCACTTTAGCCCAAAAAGGCTGCACCTCCAGTGAGATTGACTAAATGAA